GGTGGCTTTTGTTCCTTTTATATCATTTAGGAGACCAATCTGCATTATGCCCTAAGTAGAACCTCCATTTTTTTAACATGCATTTTTTTCCCTTTGTTGAACACCAGCTTCAATTGGTGTTTTCCCACTATTCACTGTGTGAATGTATCTGTATGGGAATGTGTTGCATAGTAGAAATCTAGAAAGAGGCAACTTGGTCAAGGATGTAGCATGTCATACAGAGCTTTAATCCAAGTGAGGTCACCAGTTTCAGAACCTTAGGAACTTGCTTGGATTTCCCAGCTCTTTTATGCCCAGCTATGAAAGAAGTTGTCCTTTCTTAGGAATCGAGCATTGCTAGGGTGTGGATTTCACACTGGAAGCTCGTGAAAAAGAAAATAGTCACCAATAGGTGAATAAAAGCCACTTAAATAAGGAAAGTAATTGTTTAGAGCTTTCCAGGTATATCATGTTATTGGAATGTTATTGAAATATCTCATGTATTTGGAATGAAAATATCACAGACCCACGTAGACATGATAATTACAAACTTGGAAAACATTTGGGTAATAATGGTCCCTGTGTTCTGGTGTTTACTATGAATAATGTGCAAGAGCATAATGGGAGCAAAATATATAAATAAATTAGGAACTGCAACTGTATCTAGATTACAATTTTAAATTCATTTCATGGCTGAAAAAGCTAGGGTTTGTTTTATAAAAATGCATTTTCTATAATCTTTCAGTCTATCTTTGCATGAGTTTTAGAGATATCATATTTATTACAAGATTATTTTTTTTTTGAGCTATGTGTGTCCACCAGTAGTGGAAACAACAGACTGAGAGTCCATGCAGATGGAGCTAATTAGCCATGGGATCTAACCAGGAGAAAAATCACAGTCATGATTTCACAAATTCACTGTTTATTATCTCTGCATGCATCTTAAGGGCTTAGTGCCTAAAGGGGCTTCAGGTCTGTGATGTGTTGGGTTGGGAGGGAAAGCTGATCAGTCTGCAGGGTAGAGAGAAAGGGGAATTCAGAGGAACAGGACTCAAAAAGTAGAAAGTAATTGCATCAGCAGGGAACTGTGATCAGAGGGTGTGTGGAGCAGAAGCCCATTTTCCTACACAGTGTGCAAGGGTGATATGATTCCAAGTTCCAAGTGTCTTGAAATTGGAGATCTTGGGTTCTCCCTGTTGGGTGCTTTCAGGTCAAGTTTACCTTTGTGTTCAACAGACAAAAAAAACCCCTCACTGCTTGGAAGGCTGACACTCTTTGTTCGAGGTTCACACACAGCAGTGTGTGCAGAAATGAGTGGGGAAGGAGAAGATCATGGCTGGCTTAAGACACATACGTGTTTGTTAACATGTGTCTGTGTTAAACACAGTATAAATCTTGTGGAAAAGGCCATGTAGTTAAACATTATTTAAGGACCTTTCTATAAGTCAATAGGATAATCTGGACTTTATACTGAGCTTTAATTTTCTTGAATCTTGACTTTTTTCTGTCTAATTTGAACTGAAATTGAATTATGTAACAAAATAAGAACTCAAATTTTTCCTACTGAAGATTATTCACTCTTTTTTCCCTCACTACATCAAGAAAAATATGGTATTTTAAATATGCGTGTGCTGTACTTCAAGATAGGTGTAATGAGTTAAGCAGTCTGATATTTTCTGCTGTTCCTCCTGCTTTAGTTTAAGGCAACTTTGTAATGATATTTCTCATGCCAGAGACATTATTTAAATGCTCTGTTTTGCTTTCCTGAGCACGTGACATGTATGACTCACAAGACCAGTTAAAGTGATCCTTTCCTATCTCACATTTTAAAAAATAAAATAAATTCAAATTATTTTTTTTTCTTTAGTAATAATCTTTGTTTATAATGTTTGCTGAGAGGTGCTAAAGCAAAAGAGAGATTGCAGTCGTTGTCCCAGCTTGAAACAATTAAACACAGCTTTAAATTTGAAGTTTGCACAGGCTGAAATTTTTGTTAGAGCATACTTGAAGATAGTGTGAATATCTTTATCCTTTGAATACCTTTGTGAATATCTTTAAGCATACTTAAAGACATTCAAATGTATCTCTTGTAAAAAAATTTTAACCCACTAATTATCCAAATATATTGGGGTCACTTCATATATGATTTAAGAATCAGCTCAGAGATTAAATGTCCCTCTTGCCTTGTTTACTCATAATTGTTGCCCTTCATGTTGTAGGAAATGATTAAAACTCACCTCATCTCAGAACATTTGGAACAAACTAAGCACTAGAGAAAACCATTAGTTTTGAAGCCCTTGAGTTATCTGGAATCTCCAAAGCTTTACATTATTGATGCTTGTGTTGAATTTCAGATTGTCCTTTCAATTGTCATCAATTTGTAAATGCTACTGCACAATAAGATTAACAAACAATTTCTAAAATTTAAATAATGCATTATTATTTTCTATCTTTGTATTAATAAAGGTATTAGAGATAAGAAAACATTTATAATAAATGAAAGAGTAAATCTTCACTTTCTTAATAGAAATGCCAAAAAACCTGTGGAATATATAATTCCTAGAAATAATACAATCTCTCAGAAGAAATGGTAATTTCTAAACTTGTGTTAAAGATTTTGTTGTGCTCTTAGAAGTTTCTTGCCTCAGGAGTTCTTTTTTTGTGTTTTCCCTTACAGATTTCACAGTAAGTACTTTAGCACAGCAGTTAAGCTGTAAATAAGATTGCCCAGATGAAGAAACTGTTTACACCCAAGTATAGCTCAGAAAGTTGTTAAGAAACACAAGATGGATCACTCTTACTTCCCGCCCTCTGGACTTTTATCTAATAAGCTGGATGCAAAAAGAAACAGTTAGCATTTCCTTTTTTTTTTTTTTATAGCTATTATCTGGGGCTGTTGACCTATCTTGCTTTGATAGGATGGCAGAAAAGGGTGCTGTGCAGAAAAACCTGTAATCTCTTCAATCTTGAACAGTGAATTGCATACGCACATTGATAAGCCTTTGGTGTACTGGATGTACTTACATTTAAAGCAAGAATTTATCTCCTTTTCTGTTAAAGCTTTAGTGGTTTCACAGACACTAATGGGCAATAAATAAGCAAATACTTTTTCTGACTTTGATAACTACATTTTGGGGTTTGTGAGACAAATGAGAATGAACAGTTTCAAAATACTAGTGATGCAAATATCTTTATCTTTGTTATCTCTATGAAACAAATCTTCATGAAGGTGTTCTGTATGTGACTGGTGTTGCCACACTTATCTGGAAATGTGGCTAGTAACCAACTGTCTCTACAAAGCACCTGTGGAGCTAAAGTCACTGCCTTGCTCATTATGAACCATGTGAAATTATGCTATATTCCCATCTCAGTTGTATTATTGAAAGTTTCATAACATTTTTCTAGCTTTAAGAAAGCAGAGACAGCTGAGACTACTTCATGGGGTAATCTAAAATCATTATATCTCTGATTTCACTTATATGTTCTCTTCAGCCTGAGGACTTGGTTGAAGGAAAACATTTTTTAAACCATGAACCAATTATAATCTGCAAGACCTCAGTCTGTGAACCAGATACCTGCCAATGTGTGTCTAGGTCACTTTGTGTTACAGTTTTGCACTAAATCCTAAAAAAATGCAGAATCAACAATGTGCCGAAAAACTGAGAAATTCCCCAAAGATTTCATTAATTTAGGAGACTTGATTCTACTAGGTCAAAGGGATGTAGAGACCAAGGTCAAACTGTTGGAAATGCTATAGATTTATTACTAGCAAAGTACAGGTTAACCAGTATGACAAATGAGCATAGCAGGTTGTCTGGCTTCCAGCTTCAGAAGACAGCATAAAATTTTTCTGCTAGTGAAACCTGGAAATTATTATTCTTCAGACCCAGAACATTAGAACTTGGGATTTGATCAAAATTTATCCTAATGAATCTTTTCTGATACCCTAAAGCAGCGATCCAGCACAATTTTCTCTGTGTGCTGAACCTCTCTCTTGTTCCCTTTTGCCCCCAGTGGGGAGGAAAAAGATTGTTTCCTGTCTTCTTGAATATTGTGGTTAACGGGCTTGAAGAAAAGGTCATACTTTATGCAGTCTTAGCATAGCCTACCTAAAGAAGTTCTAGGGAGCGGTGCAAATCAATCTCTTGTTTTCCCCTAAAGCTATCTTGCTGTAAAACACCAGCCTTAATGGTTGGCTGCATGCTTTTCTGACTCTGTAAAAGTTACACCAGTAGTTCTTACTAATGTTAGTAGAAACAGGGTACATAGCTTGAGGACAGATTATAGTCTACGTCTTGCAGGACATGAAAATAATTGAGACTTTGTTGTCAAGACCTGAATTCTTTTTCAAGTGCTAATGTGTTTTGACAAGACGCGTCAAAAGTACATCTCATACTGAAAGACACGCATCCGGGAATGTTAGATGGGAACATACAAAATACACAAGTCACCAAGCAATTCATATCACTTTTGTGATATCCACCATAGCCCAAAAAATCTTTTGTTCAAGTGTGTTCAGCATTTTTCAGTTGATAAAAAAGCATTTATCCTTGAGGATGACATTTGTCATCTGTGCTAAGTAGTTATCACTAAAAGAGCTTAAATCACATCTTTTAAATAAAATAATTAATGATTTTTTTATTTAAAAAAAATGCAAGTAAATTTTAGGGACAGAAATAATACCCTTTTTTTTAATTCAGAAAAATACCAGTATTTGTACAGTTTAAAGATCAGTGTGTGTGGATGTTGTTTTTTTTTAATTCAAACCCCCTTTTAAATCAGTGAGTGATAAATGTTTTAGACATTTTGTTTATTCCTTGAAAAGAATAATGCTTTCATTGGTTTAACTCTGTGTATGTGCATCTCTTACTACTATGCTTTTTTGTTGTTTCTGTATTAGATTATTCACCTGGTATTTATAATGCAGAAGAAAACCAACCATCATTATTCTGAATTCCTGGTGCTGTGCCCAGGAATTAAGAAATCACTGTCTCTGATTCTTTTCGTTCTTTCTCAAGCAGATATTATTTTAAATTTCCGAACAACATATGTCAGCAAGTCTGGCCAAGTGATATTTGAAGCAAGATCTATTTGTATCCACTATGTGACCACGTGGTTTATCATTGACTTAATTGCTGCACTTCCTTTTGATCTTCTTTATGCTTTCAACGTCACTGTGGTAAGTACTAACCCGTGTTCTTAATTGTTCTCTTTTTTCAAGAGAAGCTTGTTGATGTGGGGTTTTTTTCCCCCAGATCTGGAGACTGAAACTGAATTCACTAAAATATCTAGATGTCTTTTACAGCTTTGTGGTGGATTTTCACCCTGGATGCACCAATTTTTTTATTCCATTATCTTTGCTTTGTGAATGGTTGCATCCATGTTAGCTTCATGTCTAATTACCTTACTCAAATACAGTTTGCTATGACTTTTGCTCTATTATGGTACATAAATTCAGTCCTTAATTTTTCAAGACTCATACATTTTACTATGGTAAAGTAAATCATTGTTATGGTCAACTTATTTATTTAGTCAGGAATCCTCTTTCTCTTTACCTGTGGGAATTTTCATGCAAAAATTACGGCATGACTACTATTTTTTTTTGTGTGTTCTAACATGTATGGCTTACAATTGTCACTTACTTTAACTTTGGTTTCAACTCATCTTTTCTTTTTTTTTTTTTTTTTTTTTAGGAATATAATGACAAAAAGCATAATCTGCTTTGAAAATGTTCTAAAATTAGGTGATGTCACAATCATGATGGATTACATTTGTGTTGGCTTACTTATGCTAAGACAAAGGTTTTTATTCTGCTAGCCCTATTGGATTTTGTAGAGTAAGGATCTACAAAGAAAAATTGCAATAACAAAAACGTAAACAATCCCCCCCAAAAAATGCAAACACCTCCTACACCTCTGAATCAAAGGGTTCAGTTTTTGAAAAAAATATCAGCAGATGTTTCTTAATTTTGTAGATTTTTATCAAAAAAGACTAAGTTTATCAGCTGTCCACTTTCTAATTCCCATAATTTTTATCTTTCATAAACAGATGCACTCAACCTCAATTTCATTACAAGTGACTTACAGACTAGTACAGAGATGATAGGATAAACACATACCAAAAAAACTAACAAACAGAAAAACACTAGTCCAGAAGAGTCCCATATAAGGTGTAACACTTGATTTTATAATTTAGTTTCATTTCCTTCAATGAACTCTCTTTTCATGTCATTTATTACATTAAAAAAAATCAATCTAATGCTAGTGCAGATGCTTTTTAGAACCTGATTGTTAGTTTTACATTGTTCACTGTTTCTTTATAAAAGCTGGATAATCTATTTAAATACATTACTATCTCAGTTTATCCCTTACACTCCTACAAAACAGCCAGCATAATGCTGTTGATTTAATTTCTACTAAAAATTTTCATTAAGTTAACCATGTTTACTTTTTCTGCCAAAGAAAAAAATTAAAAAACCTGAAAAGAAATTTTTGTCCCCAGTGGAAGGACTGATAATATTTCCATACTTAATTCTGGAAAAGAAAGTATTATCCAATTATTCTTTTTACAATTAAAATGTCACATTATTAAAAATGCTGCCATAATATTATTAATACACATCTCCTGTCGTACTTTTAAGCTTTTTTCCCTTAATAAGACCTCTGTATGATTCCTTGATGGGAACACAGTGACTTACTGTATCACATCTCCTGTAGTGACAAGACTTGGCAACTGTTAATATAAACCTCAAGATAACAATGACTTATTGACTGTCTCAAGAATGGGGGATGTGTTAATCACACAACACTGTTTTCAGACTTTGTGATTTAATAAGGCATTTCCTCATGTCTGTTCTCAGATTTTCACTTCATCCACTTTCAGATGTTGCCTCAACGGAATGGTGAGAAGTGACATCAGGGAGCATCTCACTCCTTTGTTGCTCAGACCCCCCCAGCACAAAGGCCAAACCTTTAGGGATGCTCTAAATTCTGCAAGCCATTGGTATAGTGCCATACATACCTGTGTATGTATGTATGGCACATATATGTCATAGCCCAGCTGGAGACTGATGGAGCCAGAGTGCATGTAAATGCTGTGGAGTCATTTGCTGGTTTTTTTATATATTCTAAAGAAACAAAAGTTAAACTGTAGGAGTTGGCTCTACTGCCTTTACACCTTACCTGGATTCTGCTCTAGCATTAAAATCAGGGACTCTTTGGAGATCAGAGACCACAGGCACATTCCTGCCTATCCTCAGTGCCTGCCAAGACCCCAGCTCCTTCCATCCTTGTGTTCATCTGACATAAAGGTTCCCTTAATTTGGGAAAATATTGTTTCAAATGTTGCCATAAAAACCAGGCCATTAAGCACTAGTTATAATGGTTTAATTTCTCCTTTTTGAGCAGCTATCGATGGTTGTAGAGCAAGAGTATAATTTTTTGAGGAAAAGCAAATAAACAGGTGGACAAAAAATTATTAAAAATCTCTCCCACAAGTAATTTCTTAAAATGTGTCCCATTTCTTCATTAATTCATTTTTTATGGAGATGGTTCTTCCAAGCAGAGAACTTCATCATTGGTTTGTAGCAACTTTATTTTTTGTCAGTACTTCTCAGGACTTCTATTTGAGTTTGTGTTAGTCTCATATAAAATTCTGTCCCTATCCTTTTGACAGAAAAAGGTTAACACAGCTAGTCTAAAACGATTAACAAAATGGAAAATTTTGATGATTTTATATCTGTGGGCAAAGAAAAATCTATGCAGGCACAAGTATGAGTGCTGACTCCTTATTTTGTCTTCCTAAATTTGTGACATAGAAAAAGAAGCTGCCTGATGGCATTTTAGATCTTCCAATGACATATTGGGCACAATACCAGAGGAGCATTTGGCATGACTAATGAGAAAATTCAGTGCAGTAATACATGATTAATTACATCTGTGTTCAATTTTATGAAGAAATGATTTTGAAATGGGGTAGTCCTTAGGCCTTAAAATGAAACTGCTTCCACTTTAAAAAGAATATTATGATATATGATTCATGTCTTTATATCTGTAGCTTAACAAAAATGGTCAGAATTTAGGGAAGACTGATAACTGGCAGGGCACACATAGAATTATAACACTCCTTTTGCAATTTCTTTTTTGTAGGAATCTTAAAAAAAATGAAATAATTTCAACAAAGCTATCTTTATTTAACTGTGATGTTTAACAACACAGCTCCCATGTGAAGATGACGGCTCCAATGTGTAGGCCATAGTGCATAACAATCATTATATATAAAATCATTATACAAATATTTTAATGTTACTGCTACACCTTGAAGAGTCAGTCATGAATAGGAACCCAATCATGTTATAAATGCAACAGAACCGTCCAATGACATATTGGGCACAATACCAGAGGAGCATTTGGCATGACTAATGAGAAAATTCAGTCCAGTAATACATGATTAATTACATCTGTGTTCAATTTTATGAAGAAATGATTTTGAAATAGGGTAGTCCTTAAGCCTTAAAATGAAACTGCTTCCACGTTAAAAAGAATATTATGATATATGATTCATGTCTTTATATCTGTAGCTTAACAAAAATGGTCAGAATTTAGGGAAGACTGATAACTGGCAGGGCACACATAGAATTATAACACTCCTTTTGCAATTTCTTGTTTGTAGGAATCTTAAAAAAAGGAATGAAATAATTTCAAAAAAGCTATCATTATTTAACTGTGATGTTTAACAACACAGCTCCCATGTGAAGATGACGGCTCCAATGTGTAGGCCATAGTGCATATACAATCATTATATATAAAATCATTATACAAATATTTTAATGTTACTGCTACACCTTGAAGAGTCAGTCATGAATAGGAACCCAATTATGTTATAAATGCAACAGAACCATGTTTGGTTCAAACAAGCTGATGAGAGAAGAAAAGGAGACTGTGAGATGAATTACCACTGAAACAGAGGCGGTTGGTACAGTTTCACAGCAGTTAAAGAACAACTATAAATTAAAGCTATATGATTGTAATAATATAAACATGGCAATTACTTCAGCCTTCTGCCCTAGATTTGCAGATATTCTTGGACTTAAGGCCACAGACATAACTAATTCTCTGGCACTGTAGATGGAGAATGACATAGAAATGAAATGCAAGAAAAGACCTTGTAAATATTTGTGTGCTCAAATGTCAGACCTTATTTTAACAATGCATTTTGAAAAATGCTATATTTTTTGTTGACTTTCTTTTTTCCCTTTCTATGTGCATGAAAAAATGTAAAGGTTCTTGAGAAAAAAAACACATTAAATAATGGGCTGCAAATATTGCCCTTTGAAGAGGCTCATGGGAGGATTACTTATGCACTACCAAAACTGTAGTGACAAAAAAAATAATGCTTGTAGATTTCTTGTTTTCTTCTTTACAGGTTTCTCACATACTTAATTCCTGAGAGTGGAATATAATCAATGAGTTGTTAAATCTTTAAAAAAATCAAAAACACCTGATGTTACAGAATATATCAGTCACCTCAGATCTAGCTGATGGTGAATGCACACCAATAAAATTTAGATTTCAGACTACTATCTTTGGTAAGAGAAAGGCTGAGCATCAGAATATTCTGGATTAACAAAAGCAAAAAGGTATTGATTGAGCTGTGTTTTTAGAATTGCTTTTGAGAGAGCGCTTTACTGCACTCTGGGAGAGTGCTGTGGCAAGACATGTCCAGTCTGATGTTACTTTTCCAGCTGACGTGGGTATCCTGTATCAAGCAGGCCTTAATCCTAATGTCTCATTAATGGAGGAAGAAAAAAAAGCTTATTGTTAATAAAAATTATGGCTATTTAATCTTAGACAAATACATTAAATCTGTTTGGATCCTAATCTCTATATTGTTTGCTATCTCTGCCCAGCAGCTGAAGCTCAAGCCGAGCACATTCCCTGTAAAACTGTGGGCTGTGCACAGTGTGCTGTGGATGTTGGTTGCAGGATGCTCTGGAAGGGTTGGGATCATCCAGAGACTGTTCACTTTATGCTGGAACTCCTCTAAAGCCAGGGCCGTACGCTTCATTAAACTGATGTACACTTAGGGTGCTGAGCAAATTAGGTGCTGCTTTTGCCATATAAACATGAAAGGCAATATTTTAGTTAAGAAATTTAAGAATCAGTATTAGAACTTTTAATGAAAGCTTTCTTGAAACAGGAGAACTGTGTGATAGAAGTACATTTCTGCCAAGCTGTTTAGGTGCTGACAAGTGGTTTTCTCTCCCTGTTCTCCCAGGTTTCCCTTGTCCACCTTCTGAAGACCGTGCGGCTCCTGCGCCTGTTGCGCCTCCTGCAGAAGCTGGATCGCTACTCCCAGCACAGCACAATCGTTCTCACCCTTCTCATGTCCATGTTTGCCTTGCTTGCTCACTGGATGGCCTGCATCTGGTATGTCATAGGGAAAAGGGAGATGGAGCAGAATAACCCCCTTACCTGGGACATAGGTAAGTTCTTCCTTCCCGCATGGACATATACACATATGTGTATATATCCATAAATGTATGTAAATATATAAAAATGCATGTATAAGTCACTAAAAATTCAGGTTTTATTCAATCTTATTATTTAGTGCTGTTTGTAGAGAAAACTCTGAATTTCCAATCAATGAAAAGAAGAGAGTTAAAATAAAAGTCAGTCAAATATGAAATAATTTTAGATTTTTAATAGTGATTCAAAGTTTGGAAAATTCAGGATCTGTATAGGAAGTGACTAGGCAGACTGCATAGCGGAGTAGATTAGACAACTCATCCTGGTTCTGCAAATTAGGAAAATTCATCAACCAAAACATTCCCTCAAGTGTGCAGATTCCTATGCATTGAAACAGATAGGCTCTGAAATGTCTTCAAGTTAAAAACTCCCTTTGAAATTATTGTTTAGAGGATCTGCAGGCTTATATTTTTCAGAGCAGATGTTTATCAATGTTTATCATGTTTATCAATGGAATGCTCAGTTTTGGTCCAATCTTTAGTTTCTACCTCTGCCTTCATTCTGACCTGAGCATTCCAAATTAACTCTTCAGATTTCAAGATTTTCATTTTTTGCAATAAAACATCTCCCACAAACAAAGTTTATCTAAAGGTGAGACAGTTTCCCAAGAGAAAAAAATATTTGCTGTGGGGGAAATAATGCAAACACCTGTGACCAAAGGCTGAGTGATATGCATTCAAACTGCAGATTGGCCTACTCTTATTGCCTTTAATTTCTTTGTTTTCTCTTACTCCTGTTATCATCTGCCTAAATATCACCTAATTGTGATAAATCTGAGGGGAAAATGACAATAATTTAAAAGTGCTTAACCTCAGAAAAGTGAGGATGCTGGGTCAGGAAGAGAAAAAGAAGAAAGTTCAAGAAATATGTGTTTCTAGCTTTTCAATAGGTTACTTAAAGATTTGTGGAATCTTCTTCTAAGTTGATTGTTGACTTGTCTTTTTTGTAAACCAGGTCTGTGACCTGCTGCTGAACTTTTTGTAGAGAGCAAACTTCTGACAGAAAAGACTGCAGCTCTAGGGGAGAGTATACAAAGAAAGCCCACTGTGCAAAAATTGGTCAAATACCGCAAACAGAGAAACAAATCCAGATAATAATAATAATGATAAAAATGTCTCTCTGGTGGGAAGTAGCTCTGAAGGCACTTTGTCAGCTTATGTAGGCCACAAACAATAGCTGCTTTCAAAGCATTCACTGCAGTCCAAATGATGATGGTGGGCTGCAGCCTTGCTCCCTGGGTAGGGCTGTTGGCCATGCTCCCCATGCTCTCTTTTCCCTGAGGCAAAGCCACATTCAGAAAACTCTCCTCATATACCCTGGGGCTCCTGGCATTTATTACTATGAAAACATTAAACTTCACCTATCAGTTTTGTCCTTTCTTGGGCAACAGCAGTAATAACCAAATGTCCCAGCAACCTCACTAGAACCAATCCCAGTTTAACTGGAACAGAGACATTTCCCAGAAGTCCCATTTGTGTCTCAGTGCAGGGGGTGGTATCTGGGTTATCAGAAACTGATCATCTTCCAGTGGGCTTCCCAGGCTGGAATTGCTCCTTAACAGCCCCTCACAACCAACTTACCTCAATCTGTGAGAATCAGGGACATTCCTTGGGTAGCTGTAGGTAATACATTTCCACATTGGATGGGCCAAAGCACTTAGTGGTGTGTGCTCTCAGACTTTCACCTTCTACACGGAAAAGGTGCTTTTCTATTTGGCTTACAGGTAGACATAATTTTAGGATTTTTCTTTCCTAAAGGTATGAGTTTGCATTTTTGCCTGGAAGGGTGTTCCACCACCTTCATGGATGGTCTCTAAAATATTTAGATGCTATAAATTTATAATAAAAATTATACTGCAATGACTACTGTAATGCTCCTACAGATATTAGTTTTAGAGCTGAGTTAAATAATTTATAGCTTTGGGGATTTGTTTGGATTGTTTGTTTGTTTGGGGTTTTTTAAGTGAAATGGTTTTAAAATGTTAGAGTATTAGATACTGGTTGAAAGAAAAGAGCTCAGAAAATTTCAGATATCTGTCATGAAGCTGTTGTTTTGCAAGGACCACTCCAGCACTGACAAAATTTCTGGTTAAGCTTGTATGTCACATATATGAGCACAAAAATTTAGATTATGTAATATTTTTCAATCAGTACAAATTCTATTTCTCTCCACATGCAAACTACTTGCTGATGAAACACAAAGAAATTAAGTCTTGGTCCTCTGGGTATCTTTTGCTATTCTGGTTATTATATGTAGCCAGCCTTTCTTTGTCATTTAAGAAAACTTCAAATGACAAGTTCACTACACCTCATAGCATCCACACTGGGGATACTTTGAGGGGAGAATAGTAGTTGTAATTTAGACTATGAGTGCTTAAGCAAAGTAAAATGAGGTCTGGAAATCATAATAAATCATAAGCAAATAATGCACACAGGAGAAATCTTGCTTGGAGTATAATTAAGGTAGTATTACTGTAAGGCACTGAGGATATTCTGTTCTCCTAAAGGAAGACCTCAACTGAAAAATTTGTGCTGTTTTGGAGAGCATGGAAAAGAGGTTTCTTAGTGCAGGCAAAGCAGTAGAATATGATCCTTACTCTTACAGGTTATATGATCCTATATTTACAGGTTTTAATTTTTTAACTTTTAATTTCTATGTATTAATACCAGAACTGAAGACTCAAGTTTCCATCAATGCATCATACACAGAGTTTATTCCAGCCATTGAGAGGCTTTTTAATGGCAAACATTAAAAAATACCATACAATAATTATAATTCCTATACTGTTTTTAAATTAAAGGAAATACATCTCTTTCTTGGAAATTCTATTTATTCTTCACTGGAATGTCTCAGGTGATGGCCACTTGAAAACAGTATGGCACCATAAGTATGGATGCTGTAATGTATGGAATAGATGAAATATAGGAATGAATTTTTTCTAAGGAAAATTATGTCTGGAATGAAAAAATATTAATTTGCTTTTTATGTTTGCTGCTATTTTGGGGGGTTAGATACAGAGGGAGAAAAAAGCTATTAGCTTTTACTTACTCCATTTAGTGCTTCCTCAGAAAGCTGTAGCAGAGATTTCAAGACCGAGATTTGCTAACACTTAAAGCAAACATTTTAAAGCTGCAGTACTGTTAACATAATACTTTGAACCTTGCTGTGCCATCAGATATGCACCACGGCCCAGATCTAGCAGCACTTGCTTCTGTGTATCCATTTCTCTAGCTAATTTAAACAACTGTGGTGCTTAATTTGCATTTGAATTGGGGCAATGGGAGTGATAACATTGTTCCTATGAAAATACCCAGAACAGAAAATGGCATTTGCTTTGTTCTTACTGTACCTAATTGTAAACCTTTATTTCACTTTTTGTCCTTATTCAGGCAGCTTTCCCATGGCAAATAATTTTAAAACATGGTTACATTCACAAATTTAGCCACGTGGTTGCAGAGTGAGAAAGGTGAAGTATTACTGATAAACTGTCCTGACTTTAGGGCATTAGGACATAAGGTTAAAAACTGGATCTCTTGCTTAGCTCTAGTATTCCTAGATTTAATGATTACATTATTTGAAAGATACACATCATGAGCACTGCTTTTAGCTGGAAATCTTTACTTCAGCAAGTTCTCCTATCTTAGAAAAGAGCTGTTCCATGTGCAGCATTTTGACTTTAATATCTGATAAAAACCACAGCTCCTGGACATATAATTCCCTGGAGACAGTGGTACAATTTTTGTCCTGCTTTTCCCTTTTGGCATTCTCAGGTCCCTCTCTGTTACATTTCACCTTGTTCCCCTCATTTGTTTTCACTGGTGAAAAAAATGTCTCCCTGAGACATGCCATGATCTTCACCAACATGTAAAAATAAGATTAATTTTCTGTTAGCTGACATGGAGTAGAAGCTAGACTGTGTTTAGGTTCCTGCCTGATCCTAACACTGCAATTCCATTGGCTCCCATTTCTAATTGGCATCAAATTTAGGCATGGTCTCTTTATATGCTGATTGCTGTTTTGTATTAATATATAAGGAGCTGTATATTATACCCTTTAAAGTTCTTATTAAACATGAAAACATTATTTTTCTACCTGTCTCTAGAGGAAACAGATAATATTGAAAATGTTTCCTGTTGCTGAAGGCATTCATTCTGTGAGAACCATGTGAGCTGTAGAAGCCCAGCTGTTTTGAGTGTAGCAAGGAGATTAGGAGAGGGCCAAGAGTCAGGATGCTGGCTCCCTTAGATAATCAAAACTGTCAGGTATAATTTGTGTCACTGTCTCAAAAAAATTCCATCCTGTCCACCAGAAATTTAGCTGCAATCTTTTATTATTCCTACCGTAACACAACAATCTGGCTATGGAGGGGTTGTTATCAATGCAAAATACAGTAAAAAAATAACCTGTGATTTTTATATTTAATGAAAGTTTTCTTTGGAATAAGCTTTAAAATCAGGCCCGTAAAGGGCATTGTTCTTCAGCTATTTAAATCTTTATCTCAGTTGAATACCTCAATTTTCATCTCAGTTTTTCACACATTTTTTTATTAGTTTTTTAATGTACAGCAGTTTTCAAAACAAGAACTCAGTTGTGACTGGACCACATATTCTGCAATATAAAACTTCCCACACACACTTTGCTTATCACACTCTTGCAATCAGAGCCTTTAACAGGACTTGGATGCTGACTCTCAGTGAACACTCACAATCAGCTGTCAGTTGCAAGGTACAGAAAAAGGTACCCAGCACCTGAGTGGTGCTGCTAGTAGGAAATGCTGAAAATAAGACAGTGTCTTTCATTCAGGTGTTATATGTCAATGTTGGACTGAAGTGAACAGCCTTAATTCAAAAATCTACCTTCCCCACTGCGTTCTTCAGTAAATTTAGGTGCAGGGACAAGGTAGCTCAAAGATCTGGTGACCTCATGCAGATAGGAGAGACTCTCCAAATATCTTAAT